CGCGAAGAACTTGATGGTATCGTTCGGCCAAACCAAGCTTCTGATGGGTTTCTCCTGGAGAAACCGTATGCTTGAGGTTCTGGCCAGTGAAGTAGCCCAACATATCATCAGCGGCCTAACCACGTCCTTCGTCAGTGCAAAATTCTGCAGGGACACCAAGTGGACGAAACCAGGTGCATTGGAGAGCCTTCTGAAGGTCTTGGTTCCGTTCATCATGAACCACACAAGCAGCGTGGTACTTGGTGGCCACATCGACAACGTGCAACACATTGTCCAGAATTTTGAACCACATCACATCGGCTTGAACAATTTGGTTGAAAGCTAAAGCAGTTGGCACAGCTGCAGGAGATGCCTGCTTGGGCTTGTGGTACCTCGAACAGGCAACACATCTGTAGATCTTAGACACGTCGATGACAATCTTTGAGGCTCCATGAGCTTGCAAAAGTCTCACGAACTTGGCAGCAGTTGGACGGCCAAGATTGTGGTGGAGGCGTTGGACCGTCTTCTTGGAGCAACATCGCAATCATCAAAGAGGGCAAAGGCTTGCTCCTCATGCTCGCACTGCCCCAAGCTGAGACTCATGGGATCCACTTCTCCTTCTTTGAATGTGCCAGCCGGAAACCAAAATACAAAGTCCAGGATCTCGAAAAGTCCATTGGCTGCTCAGGCTCCCAAAGTGGCGGAAGATGCCCACCGTGAAGTCCAATGGTCACCTCATCATGTGAGGCCTGACTTCCGGCATCCTGAAGCTTCGAACCTTGATGGACTTGCAGAAGCTCGCAAGTGGCAAACTTGAAGTCTCGTGGTGTGACCCGCTTTGTGGACATGAAGCGTGCCAACAAGCGGAATGTGGAAGAGATCCAAAGCGATGAGGAAGAACTCCCTGATGCTGGTCATCCTCGCCAACGACCTCGTTTGGATCCAACACCACGGCCTGGCAACCTGGATCATGATTTGAATTTGGATGAGGACTTTGATCAGAAGCCAGGAAATGATGGCATTCAGCCAATGCCATACACACCAACCACTTTGGCTGACTCTCCTATGGCCATTCCCGCTGCTGAAGTTGAGGTTGATTCCATGTTACCACCTCCAGCTCTACTTGGATTTCCTGAAGAACGGATTGTGGTGGGTCCCCAACTGATTCGAATTGACGAGCGAGAGCCGAGGGGTGAACCATCTGCACCCCCATCGGTGCAACATGAAGTGCCAAGTGGACTTTCGGCATCCACTTTGTCTTCTGTGGCTCAACAGCCAAGTGCTCCTGTTGCACCACCCGATACACCAGAGCGACGTGAAGTTCCAACTTTGGATCCGGCACTTGCCTCACTTTATGAACGTGCACGTCGTGGTGAAGTGTGGGGTCAATGTGTTGCCACAAGTGTTTGGACGAGCTCCAAACCCTCTTCGAGACCAAAAAAGGGCATCTCCATATGCTGATGATGTCGAGTCTTTTTCTCAAGTTTTGGAAGTGTCCGATCTTGATGCTTCACAGCTGCCTGCTGGCTGGCCTGTGGATTCGGACGGAAATTTGCAGCTCACCGAACCCCCCCTCCGACTTTTGGGAAGTTCGCGCTGGTTGTCTTCTTCGACGCCATGTGGTTCCACGTCGCTCCACCGTCGACGTGAATGCCTTCAACTTCAAAGATGCTTCGGATCACTGTGATGAAACAGCCCAACGGCCAGATTGAGGTCCTGAACGATGATGGCACAGAGAAGCGAACTTCCAAAAGTGCGTGGACTGGCACTACTGTGCCCACAGTGTTTCAGATCAATGGTGAGGCCCGAAAAGGGTTTTGTATGTTTTCCTGCCACTCTGCCAAGAATTTGCCGTTTATGCGCCAGCAGCGCAAGAAGGACAAGAAGTCGGTGAGCGAACGAGATCTTTCAGTTCATGAGCGTGCTCTCTTCCAAGCTCCCAAACGCAAGGAACTACAGAGCTGCAGAGTTTTTTTGAGCACGATGTGTGGACTTTTTGATACAACCGAGAATGCCATTCCCGAGCGCACACTTTCGGCGAGGCGCTTACTGACTTGGAGCAAGAACCCTGACGGTTCACCAAGAGCCAAGTGCCACCTGATAGTGCGGGGCTTAACGACCTCGATGTGCTGCAGGGGAATTTGGACACATCGAGTCCTACAACATCAAGGCTCTCCCGCAACTTTCTGCTGTCATTGACTTCGACTATGCAGCGGCTGCTGTGGACATCTGATATCTCCACCACCTTCCTTCAAGGCCTGCCACAGGAGAGAAAGCTGTGGATCAAACTTCCTGCAGAGTGTTTTCAGCTGCTTGGTTGTGGGCCTGAAACTCGAATGCTGTTGAAGAAGCCTTGTTATATACGGGCGTCTAACCAAGAAGGTGGTACCTCGAGGCGTGTCGCCGTCTCCGTGGACTTGGGCTGAGACAACATTTGCTCAATCCTTGTTGCTTTTTGGTGTTTGAAAAGGATTTCGGTGTCACTGAGTTTTCACCTGGTGCAGTTGGTGGCCTACATGTTGACGACATGTTGGGAGCCGGTGATGGCAGTTCCCCAACATACCAGAAGATCATCACAGCCCTGAAGACATTTTTACCTTCCGTGAATGGCATGATGGCGAATCTTTGTTTTACTGCGGCGCTGATATCCAGCGTGATGCCAATGGAATCAAACTACACCACACCAAGTATTTACAGAAGATCAAGCCGGTGACTGTGTCCAAAGGCGTTGGATCTGCAGCTGAACTCTCAGGGCGAGAGATTTCCAATCTGAGAGGTCTGATGGGTTCTTTACAGTGGCCAGCAGTTCAATCTTCTCCCCACTTGCAGGCCAGTACTTCGATGCCCTCTGCAATTTACGAAAGGCCTGGTTGGAATTGATGGTTGGAATTGCTGTTGAAGCAAATCGTTTGCTGAAATTTGCCAAGGAGAACTCTGATGTTGGACTTTGCTTTTCTCCACTTGGTCCTCTCGATCAGGACAAACTCCGTCATGCAAAGGTCAAGTTTCTCTACGACCCTGGATATGTAGCTGCAAAGAAGAAAACTTTGGAAGAGAAGCGTGAAGAGCTGGAATCTTCAACAAAGACCGGAAAACAGAAGCTCTCAAAGAATGTCAAGAAGCCAAAGTATGACTTCCAACCTGAGAACGCCAAAACTCCTGAGAATGACTTGGCCCTTGAGGATGAAGCGGTCCCTGCCGATGAACACATGACTGCTGAGCTCTTTTGTGATGAGGAGTTCAAGATGAATGCTGAGCACGACATTGCCCAGAATGACTTGGCCACCTCAAATGCCAAGATGGCTGTGAATGTCTTCTACGCACAGTCCTCTGAAGTTGTCAAGTATGTCAACGGCCGGCGCGCTAGCCATGTCGCTGCTGTGACTGTATGTGCCCATGCTCCTTGATAAGTATTTGTTCAAGACACTGCTTTCTGGTTTGCGCTTTGGGTTTGGAGAACACGCCCCTGGCACAAGGATCCGAGATTTGTCTCGCACCTGGTTTTTCTGCAGATGAGACGGGTTCTGATAACTATTTGAACTGGTTTCTCTTGCTGCTTTTTTCCTGGGGCTGGCCATTTTGGCCCTTTGGTTTGCGATGCGACGATCAGTTCGTCGACTTGGTGAGCTAGAAGATCTGTCGGGCGCGTCAAGGCGCCAAATCGTTTTGCTGGAAAGAGATCTTGCTGTGGCCAACGGCCGACTGATGACTCTGGAAGGTGAAGGCGATGTCACCATGCAAAATTCAAATGTTCTTTCGGTGACGCACTCTGAATTGCAACAAGCCTATGACAGACGAACTCTGGCGTACGACCGTGCACGTCGGCTTCCGTCGAACAGAGAGATGCTGCAATTGAGTGCCGCAGTGCCTTGCGGCTTTCTGCAACCGAACTTCAAGCTGGCTTCGAAGCCTCTCATGCCTTGGAGGTGCATTTTGAAAGGTGTCCACTTGGAGCTATGTATGATCAGCATCCAAGATGGATCTTGCACGTGGCATTGTGATGCCGACAGCCCTGAGCTGTATGCGACTGGACATGAGATCCAGAACCGGGTACCATGCCCGTTTTGTGCACAGACAGATTTAGTAGAAGTCCCCAGGGGCTCTGATAATTTGAATCCTGGCTTGCGGGTGATCCATGCCCCAGATGGGATTCAACTTGCCAATTTGGTTCCACGAGATGATCAATAACCTTTTCCCCCGTGTGAAATGAATGCCATGCATTCAGCCATCACATGTCCCATGTTTCAATCACCCATGGCCACCCAATATCATGGGTGGGAACTTAAGCCCAACTCGGCGCGGTGTTGCGCTTGCAAAAGCGCTCTTTGCCTCTGTGACCCTGGTAGACTTCGGGAGCTGCCAAGACAAGCATTTGGGAGGTGGAGTGGAAACCCCTGTTTGCTTCGCACTATTAGTATATGATCTTGTTTGATGATTTAAAGCAGAATAAGGGTATCACAGAAACTGAAACCCGTTTTACACTACTTACTAGGTAGCAGTGAGAAACCGTTCCAAAACGTTACGAAACAATCCCTTAGAAGGCCTACTTACGTCATTATTATTATTATTGTTATTTTTTTTCGTGTATAGTTTTTTGGATATTGTTCAAAATCTCTCTCAGACTGGAATTTATTTAGGGCATAGTTTCTGTAAATTACGGTGTGTTTCGGAAATAGATTTAGGCATCCACCGACAAAGTGGCCAAGGCACTCCCCAAGGTGTGGTAATCATGCAGTGCATTACGTTGTTGGCGCGATGTCGTTGATTGATATGAATGACTTGCCGCTGGAATTATGTATGTGATGGTCGAACCTGATGCTGGCCTTCGGCTAGGATTATCGTGAGCCCAAACTTATATAATTCAAAAAAAAACGTGTTGCCATAGCCGGCTTTCGGTTTGAACAGTTGGCCCAGCTGGGCGAAATAGAGCTGAATGCTTAGAAAAATTGCTTGTAAGTGGTGCATACACGAGCCAGACGCCTGATTTTTTCAGCCGTTTGGGATCATTGTTGGTTTCGGCGCAGTAAAATCAGACGTTGAATTTCCGAGGTGGGTAAATCAGACGGTTGAATGTAAACTCACACATGCGTGCCATTTCCTTGCACCTCACAGTCAGAACGTTTGCAGTCAGAAAAGGGCACCACGGGGAAGGATTATAGGACAGTGGATGCGGTCAATAGCTGTCAACATTTGTTATTTGGTTAAGTTATATTTCGTTAATCCGTGTGTTACTATGTTTACCCAGCAAATTGGTCGAGTTCTCTTTGCTGCATGTGAATTCATGATTGTGCCGCCTGTGCAGGCTGTTCTTGGAAAATTTCTTCCGCATAGTCACAACTAGTGGTGCGGTCAAGATGACGAAGGCACGCTGACTTGCCGCCATCGTAGTGAACTGTTTTTTGAGTATATAACATGGTTTGAAGCACGGGCCAAATGCTATCAACCATTTCAACCAGGTTTGTGCTCGAACATTTTTTTGGTTGAATTTTATTGAAGCACGTAAAAAAATCTATGAGATCATATGGAGCAAGGCCGAGCCATTGCAGCCGATGGCGAGGCCAGAAGTTGGTCCGAAGGTGGGCATTCCTTCAAATTGCAATACCACCTCACACCTGACTCCCTCGGAAGAGGCTGGCTGCCCCTGGCTCTTGAGACGGGAAAATGGTCAGAAGTCGGAATGACATGAAGTTTTTGCAAAATATGCAAAAATCTAGGTAGTGGTCCCCCAGGCGGCTAAATGTGCCCAGGATCCGTTGTACAACCATTTTGCGAAGAATACATTTGTTGCTATTTTGTTCTCAGCCAAAGTTTGGACGTTGCAGAAAGGAGCGTCCTTCTGGTAACAGAATTAGCAAATGCGGAAATCGCTCATCAATATTTTTGACTAGTATGGGCCGCCGGCACTCCATGCGTTTTTGGCCGCTTTCAACAGGTACCTTCGGACAAGTACGTAAAGCGATCTCGCGGGCAAATGGTGAGGTGAGCTGAGCCTGTCGGGGTGGAGGGAAGAGGACATAGGCGGACAGCAGAACCTGGAAACTACATTGGTTTTGAAGACAGTTTTAAATTCTAATGGTTTTTTTCAGGAAAAACAAACACTGACTCAGATGACACGAAAGGGATTTTTTTTCCTGAAATCGAGTTAGTTTTCCATCGACCTCACCAAGAGATCTGCTAACACTTGTGTGCTACTGTGCCTATTTTTTTCGCAGGAATTTGCCGTCAAAGTAGCTTGGCTGACATCAGAAAGTGGAGGATCAACACTTTGAAACAACGAACGTGGGACTTTGTCTCAGAGAACCAGCAAGCTAGACATTGCAAAATTGCAAAGCGTTGTTTGGCAGTTGTTTGGTGTCGCCGTGAGTGACCCAGAGCGGCCAGCCAAGGTCATTCATTTGGGAACTACTGACGGTGCGCTGCACGAACGAATGTAGAATGGTTTCCAAAACGGGACCTCGCATATTGGATCACCCACCTGCTGCATTGCCAAAAAAATGGAATACATTAGCCTTTGCTGTTACCAAACATTGGGATTTAAGATGCCGTAAACCACTTTTGTACTTTGCAGGTGCCCGGGGAGTGACACCAAACCAGGTACGCTGGATGAGAAAACTCTTTCAGAAGCACGTCGGGAAGAGCACGTCATGCAACGTGTTGGAAGCACCTTGGGAGGAAATGAATTTTGCAGAAACCAGACGACAATGACCAGAACTTTGGGTTGATCCGTTGATGTCAGTGGAGTGATGGGAGGTTTTCAATTACAAAATCAGTTTTTGCTTTCGAAGGGTTCCCTTGTAAGATTCGTTTTGCAGCACAAATTTGAGGTGCATATGGAAGGTCTGTTGTGAACTTTCCAGACAAGTGATTTCTGTTGTGACGACAAGTCGGCGACATGTTCCGAATTCTAATTGAAGGTTAAGGTGGGAGGACAAAAAAAACACATTAGCTGAAGAGTGACGCACCCTTTCGAGCCAGCCAGATTTAGCAAGATTTGCATCTTGTGAGCCTAGGACATGAGCACTGCGTGGCACTCCTGGAAACTTTTTCTGATTTCACATCGCAGCGCTTTTATTTTGTCATGGAGCGCCTTGGCGCCGCACGGATGGTCCGGTGAGTCCAGTCCAGTCCAGTGTGTGTAACTTGTGGGGCCAGTTTGGTGGGGTCTATATCAAAACCTAACATTTACCAACTATTTTGGTGAGTAGGGACCAGGATACCCATGGCCCATAGCCAGTTATCCAAGGCGATGCGACGCAAACGCGATGGATTCCGTAGACTATGTGTTGACGTGCGACGATGAAGTCTTCTTGGGTTTGGTGGCCGTGGCTTGCTTGCGATTCATCTCTTGGCATCGGAGAACTTCTCCATGGGCTCTTTTTGGAGGAACCCCACAGGTATGTAGAACATCAACTTTTGTGATAGCCTTCCTGCCATATCTGCTTACTCGCATTTCTGAGCGTTTCCGCGCTGGCTGCTGTTCCTGCACTTGAGAGCCGTGGCGGCTAGGTGAAAGTCTGATGCTCCCCCCAATGCCCCAGCAAACCTAAACCCAAGACTGACACTAACTGAGGATGTTGCCAAAGCTGTAGCGCACATCCACAAACGGGGTGTGATTCATCGTGACATCAAACCTGTGCCTTGATCAAACAGTGGCGAAGACTACCAATTGAAGAGTTGGCCACTGGCCGGGGCCCTTTGCCAGAAGGGTTTCTTTTAGGATCTGTACCTTCCTTCAGGGGCAAACTTTAGTGCTATTGGGCAATTCCGTTCTGCTTTCAATTTGGTGAACTGTTTTTTCTTCCCGAGTATTCCTTGCCTTTCAAGCCTTTGCGACAGAAAGTCACAAAGGTCAATGCCTCATGGCGGAGCGTTGTCTGTTTCCGTTGTTGTTTGTTTCCGTGCTTTTGGGTGACCGATTCACAATGGACAGCGACGGTTGATTCTAGTGTCATTGGCCCAATGGCGGCATCAAGTCCTAGATCTCTCGCTCATGTGAGGACAACTTGCTCTTTGTGGAGGGATCCCAGCGTCGCTCCCTGAAACTTTGCGACTTTGGACTGGCAGTGGTTGCCTCCAAGTCAGACAAACTGCCAGGTAGCTGCCTTACACTTTCTCTTGCCCTCCAGAAATCCAACCTGACAATGGCAAATCAAGCTTGCAGTTGTCAAAAAACACTGCTTTCTATTGCCAGATTTAGAGGACTGTTAGCCGTTGTGTGAGTTTGTCGATGCTTTCATCTTTCGTTTAACTGGTCAGGTCGGTATGGAACACTGCCGTACATGTCACCAGAGATGGCGGCCTCAGCGGGGCACTCCTTCAGTGCCCATGGCAGAGCTGGAAGTCATGTCTCTTTTTGATGGTTCATTGGGTCTGTCCACCAGAGAATTATGAAGGATGATGAAATGTGATGAAGAACATCAAAAGTGACAGGTACAGATATCTGGTCGCTTGGCGCCACGAGCCTTGGCTCTGAGTGATTACGAGCAGCTCTTGTGCAGATGAATTAGCTGAGAACCTAGCAAGCTTCGTTGGGATGTTGCTGCAGGCTTTACATGCTGACCTTCGGAGATTTGCCATACAGTCCGGACCTCGAACATGGACGATTTTTTTGTAAGAAATTGAAAGACCCCGAGTTTGAGGCTATACATGGACCGTAAGTCGTCCGATAATTTGGCAATGATACAAGTCATGTTTATTTGAGCCGGTGCTGAGGACCTCAAAAGATGTGTAAGGAACACCTCAAATTGGCCATCATCACAGGAGCATTTGTTGGGGAGTGCCAGTGCCCTAAAGATATTTAGGTGTACTGGGAGGTTGGGATGGTCGAGACAGTAGTTGATAGCAGCTTCTGAATCCCAAATTTCTCTGCAGGATGTTTGATGCCTTCCTACGAACCATTGGTGGAGGGCTTGCCCACGAGACCAGCTCCATTCATCGATGCTTTGTTTGCAAACTTCACCCATTGTTTCGCTTGCGAAGTTCTGCTGCATTTCAGGGCTTCTGAGCTGCAGGGCAGCCCAGGGCTGTTGGCCTCGCAGCCAAGGAGTTGATCAAGCAGATGCTTTCAAGGGACAGGCCATTGTTGACGCAACTGTCATGGATGATTCCCGCATCAGTACTATTCTAAGCCAGTAGGGGAATCTGGATGAAGTCTTGAGTCCTGGGTAGGGATTCTTTAGTGTGCCATAGTTTTCCAAGGTTAGGATGTAAAACACAACTGAAAACTGACGGCAACACCCAAAGATGGGGCTTGGAAGATGGTGCTGCCCTACGGTGCTGACACCCCGGAGGCTGCAGCGCCCTGTGGCACAGCGGCTGGTGAGTCATGCAACCCTGGGAATGGCAACCGCCGGCAGCCGAGTTCGACAAGCGATTTGTGACGCACCAGGTGGGGATTGGAGGGATGGGGAAGCCTTAGCCGCTGTGATATGTGGTGCTGTTATCTGCTGTTGAGGTGTTTCCAGCTCCTTTTTTGAACGGAGGGGAAGATATTTCACTGGAAACTCCAGCCTACCGGCAGGCAAATTGAAGGCTGCCTTGCAACTAAAAGTTCATTTTGGTTGTTGGAGAGCTCAAAAGAGCGAAGAAGACGACATCCTTGGGAAACCGATCGGGTGCCTCTACTCAATTGAGGGAAGCTGGGGTGCTTACGGCTGTTGAACGGATTGTCCTGTAAGCACAGTAAACTAGCATGAGATTGCGCCATGATGCAAGCATGCTGCGACTTCTAAGTGCCACTCACGTGGCATGAGTGTTCGAGTCTTTTTCATCAGCAACACCTAGGCTTTTTCGAGCCGTGACCAATTGAATACATTGAATTCAAGGCCCTTTGGAACCGTTGGGTGATGAATACGAAGCGACCGCCGGACTTGGGACTCCGGGACCCATGACATTGGTGCTCAATTTGGCATCTGAAGCGTGATGTAAAGGATTAAAGGATGGGATGTTGGGACGTTCAGAAGTTGACTTTCTGTTTTTTCCCGAGAGCGTCTGAGCGCAGGGTTCTTCCAATAGTGGGGGTCTGTAAAACATCTTCTCATCTTCACACATCTTCACATCTTCTCATCTTCACATCTTCTCATCTTCACATCTTCTCATCTTCACATCTCATCTCACATCTTCACACATCTTCTCACATCTTCTCACATCTTCTCACATCTTCTCACATCTTCTCACATCTTCTCACATCTTCTCACATCTTCTCACATCTTCTCACATCTTCTCACATCTTCTCACATCTTCTCACATCTTCTCACATCTTCTCACATCTTCTCACATCTTCTCATCTTTACATCTTCTCATCTCACACCTTCTCCTCTTGCCCTCTTGCCCTCTTGCCCTCTCCTTCTTTTCCATTTCTTTCTTTGAAGGCAGGAGCAGGGGCAGTGCCAACGAGACGGCACGAAACGCAACCCTTTCGCATGAAATGAAGTTCGATCGTCAAAAACTCAGGTAAAATTGCGATTTCAACTTGTCCGGCGCAACCCTTTCGCACGAAATGAGGTTCGATCGCCAAAAACTGAGGTAAAATTGCGATTTCAAGTCGTCCGGCGCAACCCTTTCACACGAAATGAGGTTCGATCGTCAAAAACTGAGGTAAAATTGCGATTTCAACTTGTCCCGCGCAACCCTTTCACACGAAATGAGGTTCGATCGCCAAAAACTGAGGTAAAATTGCGATTTCAACTTGTCCGGCGCAACCCTTTCGCACGAAATGAGGTTCGATCGCCAAAAACTGCGGTAAAATTGTGATTTCAACTTGTCCGGCGCAACCCTTTCGCACGAAATGAGGTTCGATCGCCAAAAACTGAGGTAAAATTGCGATTTCAACTTGTCCGGCGCAACCCTTTCGCACGAAATGAGGTTCGATCGCCAAAAACTGAGGTAAAATTGCGATTTCAACTTGTCCGGCGCAACCCTTTCGCACGAAATAAGGTTCGATCGCCAAAAACTGAACCCTTTCACACGAAATGAGGTTCGATCGCCAAAAACTGAGGTAAAATTGCGATTTCAACTTGTCCGGCGCAACCCTTTCGCACGAAATGAGGTTCGATCGCCAAAAACTGAGGTAAAATTGCGATTTCAACTTGTCCCGCACGACCCTTTCGCACGTCCCTTTCGCACGAAATGAGGTTGGATCGCCAAAAACTGAAGTAAAATTGCGATGTGTGTAAAAGCGTCTGTGTGTAAAAGCGTCTGTCTGTAAAAGCGTCTGTGTGTAATAGCGTCTGTGTGTAAAAGTCTCTGTGTGTAAAAGTGTTTGTGTGTAAAAGGGTCTGTGTGTAAAAGCGTCTGTGTGTAAAACCCTCTGTGTGTAAAAGCGTCTGTGTGTAAAAGTCTCTGTGTAAAGCGTCTGTGTGTAAAAGCCTCTGTGTGTAAAAGCGTCTGTGTGTAAAAAAACGTCTGTGTGTAAAAGTGTGTGTAAAAGCTTCTGTGTGTAAAAGCGTCTGTGTGTAAAAGCGTCTGTGTGTAAAAGCTCTGTGTGTGTGTGTGTGTCTGTGTGTAAAGCGTCTCTGTGTGTAAAGCGTCTGTGTGCAAAAGCGTCTGTCTGTAAAAAGTTCTGTGCGTGAAAAACTTTTTGAAAGATACGATGCAAAAGATACGATGCCATATAATATTGTCTTGATACTACTCTTCTCGTCTGCTTGTAATACATCTTTAATATATTGTCTTGTAATATAGTGTCGCCATACTAACAGCAGAAGAAGACTCTGCTCCTCTACGCTCTCGGGCCATCCGTCGTCTAGTTTTTTTTGGGGGGGTCGTTCACAAAAAGATAAACATATGCATTTTCACCATCCCAATATCAAAACATATCAAGCGAATTACAATGGGGATTCACTTGATTTCACTTGTCCATATTTTCCATCATTTTTGGGAGACCATGGGAGGCCCCTGAGAATCTTGATCCATAGCCTAGAGCAATTTTTGGGTGCAGGCATTGGACCGGCTGACCTGTGACTCCTGCAAAGGGATGCTACGGCGGCTGCGGTGGATTCATTGAATTGGAACGCAGCCACGGAGATCGTATCATTTCACCTGGATAGCATTGGTCAGAAGATTTTGGACCATCTGCCTCCAGAATGTAAGTGGATGAGTTGGATGAGTTGGATGATTTGGATGGGCATATTGGCAGGGACCACGACATACAACATTTGTTGACAGCCAAGTTCACTTACAATCTTTGTCAAGGTTCTGGCCACTGGTTGGGTGTGCAGGTGAAGCAAGGCATTTCAGTATCAGAGCCTTGAAAGGGCTTCCCCCAAAGTCCAAACGTATCCAAGCCATTCGTTTCTATCTAGGCCGTAGGTAGTGAAACGGCCACTTCTTTCACATTTGAACTTTGAACCTGTAAACCTGGAGGCAGGGGGCCGGTAAAAGCTCAATGACGAGCTTGATTTAAAGTCAACCCCGCTGCTCTGGCGTACGTACTCAGTCTTCCAGGCCTTTCCGTGCGACTGCGCCATGACTAGATAAAGGGAGAAGGGATAGTAACTCTTTCCCAGGCATCAAAATAGGTCAGGAATCGGTGTCAATTTGCGGATTCTCATTTTTTGATGTCAGTGTTGGACTCGGCTCTCGAGCTTTCAAACTATTGTTACCAGAATGCCGGATTCACTGAGGGGTTCCGAGCAGAAAGGTCCAATTTGGATCGTGCACAGTGTGTTGCACCAGCTCCGCCAGTAGTGTCAACTGTCGCCTCTGGCAGATTCCGCTGTCCCGACTGAGTTGGTGAGTCGTCGAGTCATGCGCCGCCACGGATGGACCATGATCGGGTTCTCGTGGTGTGCAGCGTGTCCTTTTTTTAATGTCGTGGTGGGTTCGTCTGAAAATAGACTATGGCGCAGTATGCCACAAAATAGCCAATTCAATTGTCAATGGGGAAAATGTTGGTCAACATCAAACTTAGGGGCACACTATTTTCAGACAAACCCGCGTCTTCTAGATACTGCAGATTCAAGTACCGACCCCACCCCTGAACTGTACGAACCTGAAACACCAAGCAGTTGTGGATGCTGATGTACAGGTATTAAATACGCGCACATACGTACATACTACATACAGTACCCCCCCACCACCACCACCACCACCACCACCAACACCATTACCACCACCACCACCACCACCACTACTGATACCACTAGTACTACTAGTACTACTAGTACTACTAGTACTACTAGTACTACTAGTACTACGAGTACTACTACTAGTAGTAGTAGTAGTAGTAGTAGTAGTAGGAGTCGTAGTAGTAGTAGTAGTAGTAGTAGTAGTAGTAGGAGTCGTAGTAGTAGTAGTAGTAGTAGTAGTGGTAGTAGTAGTAGTAGTAGTAGTGTAGTAGTGTAGTAGTGTAGTAGTGTAGTAGTATAGTAGTATAGTAGTAGTAGTGTAGTAGTAGTAGTGTAGTAGTAGTAGTACTACTACTACTACTACTACACTACTACACTACTACACTACTACTACTACTACAACTACTACTACTACTACTACTACAACTAGTGCAACTAGTGCAATTAGTACAACTAGTACAACTCGTACTACTACTACTCCTACTACTGCTAGTGCTATTACTACTATACTACTACGACTAGTACTAGTTATACTACACCTACTACTACTAATTCGACTAATTCGACGAATTCGACTAATTCGACTAATTCGACTAATTCGACTACTACTACAACTACTACAACTACTACAACTACTACAACTACTACTCTACCACTACTCTACCACTACTACTGCTACTACTGCTACTACTGCTACTACTGCTACTGCTACTACTACTACTACTATAACTACTACTACTACTACTACTTCTTCTACTTCTACTACTACTACTACTACTATTACTATTACTATTATTATTATTACTACTATTATCACTACTATTACAAGTACTATTACTACTATTACTACTATTACTACTATTACTACTATTACTACTATTACTACTATTACTACTATTACTACTATTACTACTATTATTACTACTATTCTTACTATTACTACTATTACTACTACTGCTACTGCTACTCCTCCTACTCCTTCTCCTTCTCCTTCCTCTACTCCTACTTCTACTCCTACTCCTACTACTAGTACTGCCACTACTGCCACTACTGCTGCTACTACTCTACTTCTACTACTTTCTCGTACTCTAGTACTATAATACTATTACTACGGAGGACTAGTACTACGAACGAGTACGCCACGAGGAAGAGGACGAGGAAGAGGGAGGACGAGTACGACGACAAGACCGACGACGACGACGACGACTAGAACGAACGACGACACTGAGGAGACTACGAGAGATAGATTAAGACGACGACGACGACACTTACTAGATAACGCTACGACGACTATAAGTGACGACTACTACTACTACTACTACTGACTACTATATACTACTACTACTATATACTACTACTACTATATACTACTACTACTATATACTACTACTACTATATACTACTACTACTACTACTGCTACTACTGCTACTACTACGACTACTACGACTACTAGACTACTCGACTACTACGACTACTACGACTATACGATACTACGACTACTACGACTACCACGACTACCACGACTACTACGACTACTACGACTACTACGACTACTACGACTACTACGACTACTACGACTACTACGACTACTACGACTACTACTGCTACTGCTACTACTACTACTACTACTACTAGTACTACTACTATGATTACTACTATTAGTGCTACGACTACAACCAGTACTAGTAGTACTAGTACTAGTACTCTTACTAGGACTACTAGTACTACTAGGACTACTAGGACTACTAAGACTACTAGGACTACTAGGACTACTACTGCGACTACGACTACGACTAGGCTACGGCTACGACTATGCGTGCAATATTTGCATTTGAAAGAATACACCGGCAAGAGACCCCAAACAGTGTGGGGGGTAGGAAACCAATGTGCCAGATACAAGCAACAGTAGTGATGGAACAGCAACAGCTGAGGTGAGGCAACTGCAGCAGCAGGACTGTTTATATAGGTTTATTTAGAGGATCTCACAAGATCTTCAGACAAGAACTTCTGAGGAGCTTCCCGGAAGAATTTTCACACAAGCACCAATGCAAAGCATCCTGAAGGTCTTAGGGCAAGGACCTCTTGAGGAGGGTTTCAACAGGATCTGCACAAGATCTTTGTTAAAAGGACTTGTACGAGATCATGTAAGGACACCTAAAAGATTTCACCAGGACCTCGTGAGGAGCTTCTCACACGGACCTGTACAAGATCACCCAAAGCCTTCTGAGAGCATGTCACTAGGATCTCCGCAAGATCTTCTCACAAGGACGTGTAAAAGATTTTGACCAAGGTCTTCATGCCAGGACCCCTAGGAGAAGTTCACGAGATCGTCACAAAAGGACCTGCTGCTGCAGAGGACCTTACAAGATCTTGATACACGAGCCTCCCAAGAGCATCCCAGGCGAGCTTTCATACAAGCACATCTAAGACATGGCATCTGCACGGACCTGTGGCAAGATTTCATCAGGATCTTCACAACATGTTCTCACAAGAGCCTCCACAAGACCTCGGTCAAGATCTTCATAAATCACTGGGACCTCCAAGAGTGAACCATGAAACTCTTGCAAGATCGTCATACAAGGGGCCGAGAGCGGGACAACCGTTTTGTGCGAGCTTGCGCAGTCGACATGCGGATGGGCATGTCAGAAGAGCCATTTTATGCGAGAAGTTGCAGGAAAAATGCCGCGCCCGAGATTCCGACGCACAGTTTGTGTGAAGCCGTGCAATCGTGCGCATGGAAACGTCACAAGAGCCACCTTCTGCGAGAACTTAGAGGAAAATGCCGCGCCCCACGATTGCGACGCACAGTTCCGTTTGTGCGATGGTGCGCAGTCGTGCACATGGACGTGTCACAAGAGCCATGCCCTGCGAGAATTTACGGGAAAAATGCCGCGCCCACGATCGCGACGCACAGTTTGTGCGAGCGTGTGCAGTCGAAAGGCACATGGACATGGCACAAGGGCCAATGTACACGAGAATTTACAGGGAAAGTGTCGTGGCCCACAATCGCGATGCACAGTTTGTGCGAGCCTGCGCAGTCGAATTGCACATCGACATGTTACAAGAGTGACTTTATGCGAGAATTTATAGGAAAAATGGTGGGGAGCAGATGGAGCACCATGATCAAACCCCGGCGTTTACACTTACCGTAAGAACCCTTCAGTAAGGACACGCTGTTTGGGGAACAGTATAAGCATGCCTGATCCATGTGCTACATAATGTACCAGGTACCATTTTTTTTTCTATAATTACATGCATCCATATATGATTTAGAATATGATACATGATACATGTATATCCAGTCTCTTTGTCCACCTATCTATTATCTATCTATCTATCTATCTATTTATTTATCTACCCATCCATCAATCAATCTATCTTTCTATCCATTTATTTATCTATATTTCTTATCTCATCTGATCTCATTATCCAACTTGTAAAACCTAATCTCATCTCATCTTATCATACCTTATCAAGCAATCTACCAACCTAGCATCTGTATAAAATCTATCTTTCAATATTTGTCTCTATGTATCTGTCTCTGCATATACGTACGCGCACAAACGCACACACACACACATCTATATCTATATATGTATATGTATGCATCGTGTTTGGCAGGCACTGGGTGTGCATTATCATTAGGGTGAGTATGTAAGCTGATGAATCCATTTTGGCTCAAGTCTGAGCCAAACTGGCTTCATCGTTCTTTCTTTTCCCTCCCTTCCCTCCCTATGAGATAGGACTCCTGTGGAGTATCCTCTCTTGTAGGGGATCACATCATTGAGGATGTTGATCTCTACGTGTAGTCACACGACTGTAGCACTGGGTGGGAGAGATTCAACCTGTGTAGCCTCCTGAGTTCACAGGAGTGCGGAACAGGGTGTTCGGATCCAACCAGTGCTGCTGTGCAGGGGGATACCTGCACAGCGTTCCAAAGCACTATCCTGCGAGGAGCAGGTTGAGACCGCACGAAGAGACTGGAAAGGAAAAAGCTATGCGGATGTGAGCCTGGATAGACAGTTTCAGTATCTATGCTTTACATCTCACAACTAATGTATATATATATTTGTATATATATATACACATACATGCATGTATAAACCGATACCTGTACTTATACCTATACCTATACATGTACTTGCCATTCCTGTAAGAGGAGCTCAGGCATACCTCTTTCAGTCTGAAGGCTGAAAGATACACGGCTTGCTCTGAGGGTGATTTGGTCGGTCTTGGGGGTCATGCGGCGCTGTAGCAATGAGCTCAGAAATACATTTCAGCACCCATTAGCCACTAGCCTCACTCCAGCAGCTGGCAGTCAAGAAATTCACATTTTGACACTGATTTTTTGAACACTTTTAGGTGATTTGTTTGGTGGGCCGTGCGGGCCGTTCTCCAGCTGTTTAAGAGAAAACCGGCTCTCTGCAGTTGGCAAACAATTTCAAGGGGTGCCAATTTTCCTGGATGATCAGCTTTAGTCAGCCAAATTATTGAAAGCCTTTCCGAGCCAATCTGCGTATGCGCTGCATCCTTCAAGAGATTTTCCTTGATCATCCAGGTGGTTCAAACAAATTGTTTTAATGCTTTGATTTGCAAAGCCGAGCTGCACCGGCTCCGTTTCCAATTGTGCGAAGGGTGGAGCCGAAAGGACGTGAAGTCCGGGTGCCCTTGTGGCGCCAATTAAATTGGTGGCACGCCATGTGCGGCTCATCGGCTACGGGACTGTCCCTTGGGTGTCCAACGAACACCTCGAGGACCAGTGACGGCAATTTGCCTGGCTGCAGCACGAATACGGCTTTGGCTGAGGCGTCATTGTACTTGCTTATGGTCTGAACGTAGCAGGCGATGAATTGAGCCGCTTTCTTGTTGGCCCTTCTCCAAAGCTGACTCCCTCCGCCTTTGTGGGCTGGACACATGCACAAGGATGCGATTCTTTTTCTTGGGCAAAAATTGTTACTTCAAAGCACCAGTTTGGGAGTCATGGGAGATATAGGGCCACGACATGCGACAATCATCATCATTGGAAAGAAAAAAATATGCCGGTGCCAAGATCCAAAAACACACAACCGAGCCTAAAAGGGGAGCTGTCCGGTTGCCGTGAGGGAGCCGTGCTTCATATGTCAAGATTTGATATTTGGGCTCAAGTAGCAGTAGTTCACCATCACTGGGCGGCTGTGGCATTTCTGAAGACATGCAGCCCGCCAAACGTCCTCGCACAGAGATGGGAGGTGACGATGTCTGGGACTGGGATTTGCGAATAGGATCGGGCCTTACATGCTATGTGACACGATAGGTACCTATGAGGTCTGCAGAATCGTCTGGACCAGCTTTCTTTGTCGAAGGGAGCCTTCTGCTACCTTCCGGTCGGTCGTTCTCCACCCCTCATTCGGTCCAACGGCTGCCTTTTAATGACAGCTATCGTCAAGGTCATTGTCCTCTCGATCCTTTTGATCCCTGACGGGCAAGCTCAAGCGTATCAAGACAATTGTCCGCACTTCACCTAGGGACTTAAGGGGTCCTTTCTCCGGTGACTTGAGCAGCGCCGCAAACTACTTGGGGTTGATGGGGCTTCAGCGAGTGTTTTTCGCCGGTTGTGCAAGAGGTATATGCTATTAGACATAACAGTTTTGACCCCCATGAATCCACGATAGGAATCCAATTCGTCATCACTTGCTCCCAACGGTCCCAGCGCCAGGGTATTGCATCAGCCCACGGCAAGCTGCAGACATGCAAAAGAACGGCCCGGGGCTCCTTGGATTTTGCTGGGGCAGGGGGCATGGGCTGGGGCGTCAGTTGCTTCTTGGGACATCGGGGAAATTTTTGAGACTTGGAAAGCGCATGGCGCATTCCTGAGTTCTTTTGTTTGGGGGAGAGTGGGTTTCATTCTGGCGGTGTCTTCACATTGGCATCTTTGAAAGGAATACTCATAATTTTGCAGCCCTCAGATCCAGGTTTGTCGTTAACATCACTAGTACTAGTATGCTCATCAATGGCTTGGGAAGCCATGAGATAGATCATAGTGCCAGAAGTAGTGTCGTGCAACATTATCGAATGGTAGATAATTGGAGTTCTGGTCACAATGTTTCAGGTCCAACATCATATCATGAGCTATCAGGTTTCAATATCCACTACACTACCTTCATCCTTTTCCTCGCATACCCGCAACACCCAAGGTACTTGAAAATGCTGGTGAGCAATGTGACAGCTGGGATCCTTATCGGAAAAGGCGGGCAGTCACTGAAGGACGCCAAGCTGCTGCTCGTGGTGCGGGGGGAGAAAAGAGGTCAAGTTTGAAGACGATTCAAGACGATGTAAAATGATTGGTGACACACACGCGCACACGGAGATACAGATAGAGAGAGAGACAGAGACATATTTTGTTATTTTTATATATGGCCCAGTGTATGGTCCCCCCTCACCCCGAAGATGGTGATGGTTCCTATATGCAAATGGATAAAAACCAGATTATAGAAGTATGTGTGTATCTATATGTATACACATATACACACGGAAAGGGACGTTTTGGAGGCCCAATTTTTACGGTGTTGTGAAAAAATCACTAGAAAGCATCTTTGGTCACTCTCTCATCAAATGCTCATTGGTTTAATTATGTTCGGAATATTTTTAATTACTTGGCTTAGGTCCTGAAGATCAACGAAAATAGCTATGTTTCATCTTTTTTGGTGCTAATATATGCTAATATACAAACTTGGAATATCAACATCAATTATAGTTACGCTTTCCAATAAATCCTAATTTTCAGCCATATCAGCTTAATGCAGAAAGAGGAACGGAAAGATATGGGTCAATTTTTGGATTTATATATGGAGGGGTATTTTTTTGGGCATTTTTTTTTGGCTTCTGGCTTCTGGCTTTTGGCTTTTGGCTTCTGGCTTTTGGCTTTTGGCTTCTGGCTCCTTCTGGCTTGTATTTGCTGCAGGAGCCAAAATCTCTGATTTGCGTACTATTTGCTGCAGTTTGGAGCCAATTTGCATGCCCATTTGGCTTTTGGCTTTTGGCTTTGGCTTCGCTTGACTCTTGGCTTTTGGTTTTTGTTGTTTTTTTTTGGCTTTGGTTTCACTGGGCTTTTGGCTTTTGGCCGCACTTCTGTTGAATGTATGTGTAGTATTGTAGTTTGCATATAACATTTCATAATTTCATAGAATACACTGCATATAAATTGCATGTAAATTGCACAGAAACTACAGTCGTAATATGAGCTTATATGCATGCTGTTGTGAGAGGAATTGAGACCTGTTTTCAACAAGTGTCCCAACTACTTGCTGTTCCTAGAGTTCTTAAGACCCTATTTCAAGACACTTGTTGAACTGTTGTTCTCCAACTATATTTGCTTGAATTGTGTTTCACAATGGTTGCATGGCAGTCAGAAGTTTCCCTGTGTACCTTTGAATTTATATGCATGCTTATCGGAGAGAAACTGCAACCATTTTCAACATCAAGTGTCCTAACGAGCTCTTTTTTATGTCCGAAAAAAGTATCTCAGGACTTGTTGAATCTGGCCTCCTACTATATCTATGTGAGTTGATGCGTGTGAAAGCCTAAAGAAACCCTAAATGACACCCCAAACGAGCCCTAACGAAATTAAACATGAAACCCTAAAGAAATGCCAAATGACACCATAAAGAAACCCTAAAGAAACCCTAAATGAAAGAGACCCTATTTCAAGACACTTGTTGAACTGTTGTTCTCCAACTATATTTGCTTGAATTGTGTTTCACAATGGTTGCATGGCAGTCAGAAGTCTCCCGACCCCTGCGTAACTTGATGTACATGTAGATAAAAGAAAGCAAAGTAACAAGATCCATATACGCAACAATTATTGCAAAGATAGAACAAACATCCAAACTGCAAAACACTGTCTCGTTTGGGTCTCGTTTGTCTTTGCCCAATATGGAAAACATTGGTCGTGCTCAAACTGCCTTGCAATGCTGCACACTGCACAGTTTAGAGAGGGATCATATTCATTTGTGGTCAAACATTGAGTCAAAAGTTCAAAACGAGTTGAAAACGCAGGTTGTTTTGCACATTTTGGCACAAAAGTGTAGAATTCTTTTCAATTTCCCAGAGAAATTATCATAGTTTATCAGCGAAACTCAAATAACCCTGTGTTTTTGTATGTTTTCCGGGGGCTCGTTCAAATAGAAGCAATCCCATATCCTATAGCTTCTATTTGATTGGACTGCTTTGAAGTGGAGACCTTAGAGAAACATCCAAACTGCAAAACACTGTCTCGTTTGGGTCTCGTTTGTCTATGCCCAAAATGGAAAACACTGGTCGTGCTCAAACTGCCTTGCAATGCTGCACACTGCACAGTTTAGAGAGGGATCATATTCATTTGTGGTCAAACATTGAGTCAAAAGTTCAAAGCGAGTTGAAAACGCAGTGTTTTTTGCACATTTTGGCACCAAAGTGCACAATTCTTGTCAATTTCCCAGAGAAATTATCATACTTTATCAGCAAAACTCAAAAAACCAGGTGTTTTTGCATATTTTCCAGGGGCTCGTTCAAATAGAAGCAATCCCATATCCTATAGCTTCTATTTGATTGGACTGCTTTGAAGTGGAGACCTTGAGAAACATCCAAACTGCAAAACACTGTCTCGTTTGGGTCTCGTTTGTCTTTGCCCAAAATGGAAAACACTGGTCGTGCTCAACCTGCCTTGCAATGCTGCACACTGCACAGTTTAGAGAGGGATCATACTCAATTTGTGGTCAAACATTGAGTCATAAGTTCAAAACAAGTTGAAAACGCAGGTTTTTTTGCACATTTTGGCACAAAAGTGTAGAATTCTTTTCAATTTCCCAGAGAAATTATCATAGTTTATCAGCAAAACTCAAAAAACCCTGTGTTTTTGCATATTTTCCAGGGGCTCGTTCAAATAGAAGCAATTCTTAGCTTTGGACCTTGAAAAACCAATTGCTTCTATTTGAACGGGACTTGGGGGGTTTGCAACGTCCATTTCAAATAGAAGCAGGGCTCTCCGATAATTCCGGCAATTGCTTCTAAAATTGCGTCCCGGAATATAATCCGACCCTCCCCTTGCTGGGAAGTCGACGACGACGACGACCACCACAACCACAACAACCACAACCACCATCACAAGCACAACCACAACCACAACCAGCACCACAACCGCCACAACCGCAACAATTATTAAAAGATAGATAGATCGATAGACAGAGGAACAACTGCAAAACAATGGCAACAACAACAACAAAAGCAGCAACAGCAAACAGCAACAGTAACAAATAACACCATCAAAATCGATCCAAACAATGGGGAGAAAACAACGCCGGGGTGCAAGTCGCATAGCACGCATTGCGGGGGGAGGCGCTGCGAAGAACAACAAGAACAACAAGAACAACAGTAACAACAGTAACAACAGTAGCAAAGAACAAACAACAACAACAACAACAACAACAGTAGCAAAGAACAAACAACAAACAACAACAACAACAACAACAACAAAAAAAAAAAACAACAACAACAACAACGACGACGACAACAACAACAACAACAACACCAAGTCCAAAATCATGCAAAAGAGGGAAAACTAATGAGTAGGACGGAAAAATCGATGAACAACGCTAGAGGAGCAACGACAAATATAGAAAAACATAGAAAAAACAATGCAAAAGCGAAGAAAAACAAGAAAAACCATTGAAAAACTGAGGGAAACGCTAGAACATTTTTGAAAACTATGGAAAGCTGATGGAACGCGCTAGAAAATCATAGAGAACTATGGAAAATGGAGGAAAAACGCTGGAAAACTAGCGAAAACAATTGGAACATTGATGAAAACTGCTGGAAAAACAAGAAAAAAGCAAGGAACCCAACCCCGAACCAAAAAAAACACAAATTGCAAAAAAAAATGCCAACTTAATTCCGCGCCCTTTATATATATATATATATTACTAGTACGCTTTCTGTATAGATATATTTCTTCCTTTCTCTCTTCCTCCTGGAGACCTCTGGAAACCCTAAAGGTCTGGTTTTTACCTTCCAGACCCTTCTGAGGGGGGTTCCAAAAAAAAAATGCCCCTCAGAATGTAGGAAACCAGCTTTGACATACTAAAGTCATCCGGTCTGGTCGGCTCCGTAGTGTCAATCCGGCAGCTGTCCGGGCCTTTCAAACTTCGGTTTGTTTGGTCCATTTTAATTCTAATTTCCAGAGGCTTTGATGAAAGTATATGTTGCCAAGAATGTTCGATAATAAATAGTAATTATGCCAATGGATAGGCCATTGCATGATACACAGCAAGAAATATATAATCAAGAGTGGTATGAAGACAACGTTATCTTTGTATGTCAGAAAAGCTTTACTTAGCATGCCAATACAATTTTTTTTTGGTGCAAGTAATCGTGAAAATATCTGCGATGTATATCATATATTTCTTCAGTATTGTTATGACCAATGTACCCTCATTCGAAGTGCAGACAATTTAGTCAAACTCTAAATATTGATGATTAATCTCATTAAAGGTACAGAGAAATAGATAGTGGTACTACATTTCCTTTTCTATATATCATTTTTGTGACAATGTATGGCAGGTTGCAATGATAATTTGCTTTGATGATTGGCAACCATCAATCAGAACTACAACGTCCAAGGATTGTTATAACCACCTTTATCAGATTAGTTTAGTCAAGCCAAAATTTGCCCAAAAATGCGTCAAATTCCACCTTTTCCAATGACAATGCAATATTTGCATGCATTTTGAGTTTTTGCCCTAGCCTCATCTGACTTAGTATTGTAGGTCTGCTCCTTGCCATAATTGTATACATACATCCTTGGCAATATTAATATCTTAATTGCAATAGCCAAAGGTTACCCCCATAGGTGTTGCTATGGACAGTATCCTTCGAAGTTCGTTCCATATTATCTGGCAACCATTTTGCCAGCCTATAACTAAGAAGGACAACTGTATACCTCAACATTGTGCAAGGGTCTTCTCTATCATACGCATGCTTGATTTGAACACCGTGATTGTGCGCAATGTCTGTGTGGGCTGCCAGATTGCAATGATTGTACTGGATATTCCAGGCTCCCTTTTTTGATTTGCATTCCTAATTTGTTAGTGTCTGTTAGGGAAATCTGCACAAGGAAGCGGTAAAAGCCTTGCTGTATACCAGGAGAATTCGATTTATCTTTCTTTTGCGGCTAAGTTCTTGGAATGTTTATGCTATGGATCAGGTTGAAGCCAATATATTTCAATGTATTT